GGTATTAGCCTGGGGAGAATGGCTCGCGAATCTCTCTAATATAGGCTCACTTAGCGCTCATAATTAGCAAACGGATAAAGGCTCATTAAGATACCGCGAACAAGCTGTTAACGACTTTCCATAGGATCAATATCTATGTTTTCCATATCAACAAATGAAAGCTTTGTATCACTACTTTAGATAGGAAATAATTCATTTTCTCTCATTCAAATGCCTTCTGGAAATGAAATCACACATTCAAGAAAAGATTAAGTGGTAGAAAATTGTTTTCTGAATACGTACAGCTCCATATTTTAGGACGCTTTCTTGATCTAATTTCGTCGTCATTTGCGGAAATAGAAAAAAAAAATTAAGAACAACAAGATACTTTGATTTTTGGCCGGAAAAATGACCGGAACCCATCAGGAAGTGAAAATGACGGAGTTATTAAAAAATGTAAATGATTTGAAGATTATTTATAAAGTTTGCATTTCCACGACCTCTCCTATCGTTTTTAAGATCAGATTCCGGATCTGATGTAACTTGCAGTGTTCCTGACGGGCTTCAGAGAAATGAATGGCATTTCAGTCTCTAGTTATCTCGTAAAATGTCTCATCCATGACTGAAATGTCGTTTTGAATTGACAAGTAATGCATGTATTGGAACATGAAATGTCTGCCTCTTGCTGCGATTCTCAGAAAAGTCAACTTCCTTCGAGATAACTTATTTCGTGAATGATTTATTGCGTTTATTTCTTGAAAAGAATTTGTCGGCTGTCTCAGTCGTAAACAAGTAATATTGAAAGGGTTGTTTATCGCGTCCCATTATATCAGACTCACATTCTAAAACGTATCTAGACCCTTTTTGACGCATATCGTAATCCCACCTTTTAACAGTAGGTAACTAGTTAGAGAATCCTTCACAACAATAAATTATTGTTAATTAAAAGGCTTATATGATCGAAAAGACCCTTCGGCAGCGTTGGAAAATGATAATGGCCTTCGAATCTCTCATACGTGTGAATTTTACTTCAGTCCTCACACCGCAACCAATGTACCTTTAAGGGACAAAAATGTACAGATTTATAAAACGTCTGGTTTATTATTATTCGGATCAAAACTCGACATACAACATGAATTTAGAATACTTCTTTAATTAAGCGACCGAGTTCAAAACAAATCATGGCTTTCTCAAGCTATTTAAGGTGATTCCCTAGTAAGTATTGCCCTGCGAAATAAACGTAAACAGGCGAATAAGCACGCGTATGAGAACACCGTATTGTTTTTCTATCAATAATCCAAGTAAAAAGCTACGATGATCTTACCGAGCACGGTAACCTACATTTTTTAGTGCAAAAATCATCACCTTTAAATCGGAGAAATTAAAAATAAATTAATCGAAGGGGAACAAGGTACAGCTAAAAGCGCACAAGAAGCCCGTCACTCGACTCAAGGAACGTTTGAGTCGATGTCATTCAAAATTGCCTGATTTTTTCACAAATCATGCATTAAATTATTCCAATGCTCGAGACTTTCCACATACCAAGGCTTTTTTCAAGTGCTGATTCAAAAGCCCTTGCTTCCAGCTACCTAAAAGTGTACTGTGAACCGATGAAATGACGCACGTGATTAGTGCCAGTACAGGCATAAACAACCACAGTGACCTATCTTTTAAATCGTATTATTCGAAACAGACATTGGTGGGGAAAATTTAACAAAAATCAAAAAAAATTTTCAATAACTCTTTTTTTTTCTGAGGAGTTACCTCAAACACGCTGTGATTTGGACATTTCTGGTCTTTGCAGAATGCATGTATGTATGGCCGCGCCCATCGACGATATCTCGGTAGCTAAATAGTAGAACATCGGACTTCTCTGTTGTTTTAATCATTAGGGGAGTTTTAGAATTTTATTTGTCCCACGCTCTTGAATAAAGTGGCACTTCCTTCTTTATTTTGTTATCTTTATCAACGAGGAAATCTATCTGTTTTCAGCTTTAGCAAATTAAACACCATTAGATCTTCGGTGACATCATACGTTTGAAACGCTCTGCTGCTGAAAGTCACCAGAAAACAGGAAAGTAAACCTAACAAACCTTTCCCGATTTTTCCTGACTTTTCACGAACTTAAGGGTCAGATAGTAAACGACAGAATTATAACAGTAGCTACGAATAATAACTCGCGATTACGACTGCCCCTGCCCTGCTGCGTTGAAATGTGGGCTTAATAAGCGTCATATTTCAGGACAAAACCATTGACATGTCTTTCATCGTAGGTGCAAGGCTTTTCTCTGTTTGTTTAGAAAATTCGTCCGAGGTTGTAAATGCTCTTGTAAACGAGCGCCATTCAAATTAATTCCTTCGTTATTAAACACACCATGCAGGAATTATTCAACACCTTTTGACTAAGTATTAACTTTTAATACAACGTTACCAATTATGTGAGTTTAAAGCGAATCAAATTAAAGCTTTGCATCGCAAGGTTCAAAAGCAAAGATTTAGTTTTCTTTATCTTTTCTAATTCAGACGACGTTGATTTTTTAAAAAAGCCAAGAAATGAATTAAATTTCACCTCGGCGCCCCCCACTAGTCGAAGCTTTTTAATAAAGAAAAGCTTGCACTCAACGATAGACCCACGCAAGAACTAAAAATATGTTAACGGATGACAGAGAAACGGCACTTTTTTAAAAAGGAATCTTCACCCTAAATTTTAGAATTAGATAATTCTAGAATTTTAGACTTTAAACTTAAGATTAAAATAAAAACTAGGTCATTACTTTTAATACAGCAGATAAAGTAAATGTTGGCGACTAAAGTGGAGAATCTTTAACACCTCATATTAAGAACGCCACTGTCAACCTTTTCAGTTTTTATTCGGTTACATGTACTCGACCATAAGCTGTTATTTTACTTTCCTCTAACAACTTTGTTGGATTTCTGTAACGTGGCTAGCTATGTGGAATTTCATTTTGAATAAATTTACTCTCTGGTTAGAACTGTTTCGTGTCAAAATGATAGAAGTAGCTAACATCCATTCAAAATTCCATGTATATGAAAATTATTTTAAAACCTCTAACTGCTATAGGACCTTTCTCATTTATGTATGTCTCCGCAGAAGGAAATTATGTGAATAATTTCTAGTGTTTATCAACGAGGCAACGAGGCAAGTATCAAAGATGGAAATAATCTCCATCAATTTAAGAGGATTAGACAAAAAATGAATTGAAATAAATACGAAAACGTCTTTCAAACCCGAACATGCATTACTGATTTCTCGAACAGAGACTCCAGTTCTTCTCAAACTTAAGATTTCTTTCTCAAAATGAGACACTGCGTTACGTGATTTTCATGAAAAACTCTCCATAATGGTGAATGCCTTTTACTAATACATGACATAAGGCATACTTAGGATCCGGCATATACAATGTTGTAGAGATATCTACACCCAGTGATTTTATCAATCCCATTAAAAATCTCAAAACGTTGGCGGGATGCAAAGGAATACTATCCAAAAGAAAAAACTGGAAACATTAAGTTCTTAATTTCGGGCTAAACCATCTGGGTGTAAAATACGTTGCCTGAGGGACTGAATCAATCTCTAAGATCATAGTTGGAATATAATTTCCCATTCTTATCGCATATTTTATATTAATCAAATGTTCATACCTTCTGTGTTTTTTGAAAGTGAATAAATCAAGCATGTGTTCTGGGATCATGAATTAAGTTTCCCAGTGTTTTTGTTTCATTTCGTATATATAAAAGCTTTTGGAGAAGATCGAGGATAAATATTTTAGGGAAGGTGAGATAATCTATTTGTTTGACTACCATCTGAAGTTAATTTCTGGTAGGCATTATTAGCAGTGATTTATTTTTCATGACTACAGAATTCAAACAGATGGGTTTTAAAATATGTCTTCCATCTTGAGTTCAAAAATAATTTTTCGCTTCATTCCGTGAGAAAGAGAAAGAGTAATTTATAGTGACCGGAGAATTTAAAACAAATGTTTTTAGAGAAAATGTTTTCCTTATAAATGTGACATTAACAACTTTTAAAGAATAGATTCCCTAATTATAAGATTACGGTAGGAAAAATAATAACCGTTTGATCCTTGTTTTTGTTGCCTTAATTTTTTTGTCAGTTCATATTTGTATACGTCCCTCAGTATCTCGATCCAGAAGAATCACATTATTTGAATCAGTTCTGTTCTTAATTCTTCGATATAAAATCGGTTGTTATCATGGACATCAAGGTCATTTAAAAAAATTGATTTTGTGTCACTTCTTCCATCATGGGGAATAACTGTGACGAATTATCACGTTGTCTTTAGATTCCTCGCCATGAACAAAGTACTTCTAACAGTTCTAGTGATGGTGCTAGTAGCTGGTGTATTTATGGAGCAAGTTGATGCTCTACTCCGAGCCGGTAGAGATCATATAGAGAAAGTGCAACGAGATGAGTCAGCGGCAATGGAGACAGCTCAAGAAGAGTTACGAGGTGACGCTTATTGTTACACTGCAGGTACAGTGACACCGTAAGAACAGATAAATTTCCTTTCTCTCTTAGCAAGAAAGATGACATAATAATGTGGTCTGAGGCGTTTGCGTATCTGATTTTGACAGTTTACTGCTTTTCGAAGAATTTTCCATCTGATCTTTGCTACAGAAAAATAAAAGAACCATCAACTGCATTAAAATGGCTCCTCCTCATTCTGATTGTGACGTCATAGTTCGTTTCCATAGCAACAGATGCACGATTGCTTAAAGATGAACCAACATGAACTGATAGCGGCATTCGCTAATAAAGGTTAAACCTGACCGAAGAAAAGGTTCTAAAATCCATTCTGCTCCTTCTTCGCCCCTTCGTTTGTATTGTATTAAATACCTTAATTAGTAGTTTCACTAGCAACCTTTGTGACTTCCTTTGGTGTTGATGTATAGGATCCCATGAAAATGGGTTCCCACTCCACTGATGAGCAATCTCGTGATCAGTGGGTAAAAAAGGAAAAAAGCGTATGCAGGGGGGT